TGTCAGGGATACTTGTACAGTTACTATTAGGTGCATATTGCATGTTAGACGTCAACTGTTCTCCTGATGGCTTATTTGGACTTGACTAGTCTGTTGTGAAATAACCTGAGCTTATTGTTGATGCTTCTTCAATGAGGAATATTATGTCTCAAGTCTAGATTATTAAAAAGCTTTTCTCTCAGTATATTGTGTGGTCTTCAGAGCACTGTTTTTATCAGTCATTTTAGAGAGAACCTCTTTGTAGATTTGAGTGATTTAAAAGATAAGCATGTGAACCATTCTGCACTCAAATTTCTTGCTAAGCAACTAAGATGAGTATTGACTTAAACTGGAAATCTAAGAAATCCTAAGTACATTATTTAGAAAAGTTGCTTTCAACAAAAATATGCAATGATGCTACTTCCATGAGGATGTGAGATGGTTAGATACAGTTTTAAGTACAGTATGTCATAACTTGTGGTTTAGAGCCACAAGTGTGAGGAAGGAATGACTACATAAAAAGTGGCTATGTTAGTCTGACCTCATAATGAGTGAAATGTTTATAAGCTTGTAATCAGCCTACATTCAGGTTGTAGACAATTTTTTTCAAACTACTCTTATTCCACAAGTACTCACCATTTTAAATCTTTACACAGAACTTGATCACTGCCTTTGATTATTTTTTTCTCTTATCTCCCATTGCTTATTCTAAGAAAAAAAAATCCCTTTCTTCCTTTATTTGTTTTGTTTATCTTTGATTAAATAATAAGTTAAAGAGTGTTAGATTTTTATACACTTGACATTTTGTTTTGTTTACAATATTTTTAATGAGTTTTTAAGATAGTAGGTTTGGTTAGGTTTAAATATTGGGAAGTTTGAAGTACTAATTCTCTTTTTATCATACTGTAGACCTTACTAATTGAAAAAAAAAAAAAAAAAATTGGTAAAGAGAAATTGGCTTTAGCAAATTTAATTGGTATTTACAGTTTACTTTTGTGGTTTTATTTACATGGGTGTTGTCCTTTATATGTCAGGTCGGCTGAGTCTTTAAAATGGAAAATATTACAAATGCAAGAATGTATTACAAACTATCAGCAGTACTGCATTCACAGAAAATACTGATATGATATTAGAAATACTTTATCTAAAGATACTTTTAAGTAAATTATTGATACACTCTCTGAATATAAAGTCAAAGTAATAGTTGAGAAATTCCAAAAAGAAGCCTCTTTTAGGGTTTTATTTTAAATGAAAATGCAGTAAATTTGCCTCTTAGGTTGATGAAAAAAAAATTGAAAGCAATTTTTTTTTCTCTCTCTCTCTCTCTCTCAAGCACATGTCAAGGCATCATAATTCAAGATAAAAATAGTATACATTATTAGTCTGCCATTCTTGGAACTAATTATTTTCTACTAGCCAGATCTTTTGGTGCTTAAGTAATATGCTTCTTTTTCTATTCAAGATGCAAAGTACAGAGATACAAATGTATAATTTATGATATCTAGAATATGTAAACTGATACATTTATTATGTATTAACTTATATGCATACACTGCACATTTTCAGGTCTTTTTCAAGTACTTACTGAAACATAGAAACATAGTGAATGTTTTTTTGTTTATGTTTTTATGATATTTATTTTAAAGGCTGATTGTGCCAGTCAGATAATTAAGTTAAAATTTTACTTGACAAGAAAAGATGTATCACTTTTCCCTTATATACTATATTTAAGAAGAAAAAAAAAAGAGGTGCGTGTAGTCTCCTAATCTGACTATTTGCATACAATATCAGCCATTTTTTTGTATAAATGTTTGTTCCTTTTTTCCCCATATTTGTTGAGGGGGAATCATCCCAATTAACAGAGAGGAAGACCAATATACTTGTTCAAATATCTATATATTGACACACCCAGTGCTCTCGACTCAGACCTACGTTCTATGATTTTCAAAGTGTCTTCAGTCATCAGTGTTCCGTTACTTTGTTTCCATTTTATGAAAATAAACTGTGATTACAAGCTGTGTTTTATTTATCTATACCCTTTTATGTTCTTTAGATCTTATATTTTTTAGATATATTGTACTCTGTAATGTGTGTATGTGGGTGGGTGGGCACTTACATGTATTTTTTCTTTTTATGTACCCCCCAATCCCTTGCCCGTTGTTGTCGTGGGGGGGCTTAGGAGACGGAGACTGAGACCCAATGCAGGGATCTCCCCTGCCTAGGGCCTCAGTCCTCGACTCAACTAATTTTGCATGGTCTTTTCCCCTTCAGCTTTTTGTTTCCGTCCCTTCTCCAACCCCTTCTACTATCTACTTCCTAAGGTGTAAGAGCCATGCTGAAAGAATGAAAGGCTGACCTTGTGCCAGTCCTGAACGGACTGAGGGAACCATGGGCACGGTACTCCCGATTTAATTCTCTAGCCCTTACCCACTACAGGGCACTGGGGGGTGGACTCCGAACACTGAACTACTTACCTCTCCTCAATCTCCAGAAGACATTCCTACCCTCCCAACTTCCTCAAATTTATCAACTCTACCCCTACAACCTTCTTCATCAAACACTCCAACCTCCCTTATTACTACCTTACAGCCTTATTCTCCATCTCTGTAATACTACCCCTCTCAACAACACTCCCGCTTCCACACACCCCCATCCTTCTACCACCACCAACCCTACAAATATCTTAACGAATCTATTTAGCCCAGCTAAATGGGACCGATTTTTTGTGATTCCCCCTACAGTTCCTTACTCAGGCAACACTCTTCTCTTTCAACGTCTGCAAAAACATGTAGGCAGAGTCCCTTTCCGTACCCAACGCGATTGCTCCCGTCTTGTAACAGTCAGATATGAAACTGAAGCTATAGCATTATCAAAACAAACTGATCTCTCTGGCAACCCCATCCCTGCAGAACCTCATCCAACTCTTAATACTCGTACCAGAACTGTCTCTATCTCCCCAGCAAACTGCCCAGTCGATACCAAAGATTGGTCAGATTGTGGAGAAGACTTGCTCGGCTGCCTCAAAGACCAGGGCGTGATATCAGTATATTGCTACTCCATTCCTCCTAGAGGTCATAAAAAGAAACCCACCAACATTGCCAAAATTACTTTCAGTACACATGACCTTCCCATTCGTATCTATATTGCTGGACAATCCCTCCCTGTTCAACCATACCAACCTCCTCCCCATCAATGTCAAAATTGTTGGCGATTTAGACATCCACTCAAACACTGCCGCTCCACAGACCGATGCCCCCTCTGTGCCCAACCCGGTCATAACAGATCAAACTGCCCTGCACAAACACACACATGTGCTAACAGCGGCAGCCCCCATAATGTATTTTATAGAGGCTGTCCCACTTACATGTTCAAGTCTGAGGTAGCAGCTCTCAGATACAAAAATGGTCTCACTCTATGTGAAGCCAGACAGAAAGCACGCCAACAAGGTTTCTCTTACACTCCCTATTCTAGTAATGTCGCTTGCTCTGCCCCTCCCCCTCCACCTCAAGATGTTCCTACACCCTCCCCTATACCTACTTACTTCCCCACTTCCACCACTTCCACTTCTACATTCAACCTCCCCCAGTCAAATTCTTTTGCCACTCTAAATCCAGACACCCCAATCTCAACCACAGCTCCAATCTCAACTACAGCCCCAACACCATCCCCTCTCCTTCCCTGTACTACCCGCAGTTGACAGACGAAACGTTCCACCCCTTCTTCCCCTACCGCACACTCACCTCCACCTACCTTTACTTTTACTCCTCAGACACCAGTCTCTTCTTCCCCCCCTTATAAGAAAACCTTTGTCCCACAAAACTCTCCAACCAACTCCACTGCAGAAACTATGGAAGACATTAAAAGCTATATGCTTGAGACACAAAATTCCATAACTCATGCTCCCTCCACACTTGAAGTGATTGCCGACATCCATACCCCTCCAACTCATATTCCCCCGACACCCCTTCCTCCTACTCCCTCTCAACATAACCTAACCCCCTCAATTCCGTACACCACCGATATCCATCCTCCCAATACCCATGCTCCTGAAATCCATCCCCCTCTTACTCATAGCACTCCTAGATCCCTTCCTCCTAATCCCTCCCAAGACAACACATCCCCTTCAACTCCAACTATCCATCTTTCCGATATCCATCCTCCTACCACTAATATTCCCCCCACACCACTTCCTCCTACTCCATCCCAACACAACCCACCCCCTTCAACTCCAACTATATGCACATTCTCCCTCCCTCCATCCCCTCTATCCTTTCCACTCCCTCCCAGATACACATGGGAATCACTCATGTCACAACACCCCCTAGCTCCTTCCCCCCCAGATTCCCCAACACATACCAGCACTTTCACTCATAAAATAAAGATATAGCTCTCCTACATTGGAATATTTGCGGTTTCCGTTCTCACAGACCAGACCTACGTCATATCCTTGCTTCTTATAACAACCTGTTCTCCTTCCTCAGATGCATAAATATCCTTCACTTGATCTAATTCCCTTACCTAAACCACCATAACCCTTTCCCTCATCAACCCCCTTACCCATCTTCAACTTTCCAACAATACTCTAGATAGTTAACGCATAGCAACTATCACCTGACATCACCCTTTACTATACCTTTCTATAATGCTATATGACCTTCGATGTCTAGCATATTTATTTTGCTTTTAACCATTAACCATTCTTTTTATGTAATTTTCAATATTTTCATAAAACTATTAGATGAGACAAGTTTTCAAGTATTTTGTAAAAAAATAATAATAATTATAATAATAATTAATTAATAAAAAATAGATTAATAATGACAATTTGGAAGCAATATAGAATATTACATAGATATTAAGCTTGACAATGAACAAAACTTTTACATACATTAAGCTTGACAATGAAGAAACCATATATATAAGTATAATCATTTGTAATCCACTAGCCTAGTCTATAATTAAAATATGATTCTGGATAACCACTTCCTCTTTCTGCATAACTGTGTTAGTCCTGAATGGCCTACATACTCCATTCACTTCTCTCTGCCCTTTTCACCGCCATACTAAGCTGCAGTGCTCTACAATCTTTGACAGTGGAAGGGATATATTTTGTCCTAATTGTTAACTCGTTCTTACCCTTTTCACATCGATATTTTATCATAGTTCTGTATGACCTTTCCTTACATATTTTTTAATATGACCTTCGATGTTGACAAGACGGAAAATTTTCAATAAATAATAATCTGGCTCTGGGTACACGTACTGTCCACAATGTCTTCTAAACTGCTATTATATATATAAGGGTTTTATTTATAATACCATCATTATTATAATTAACATCATTATGATTATTGACATAATTATTATTATAATGTTAACAATAATAAGAACAACAAAAAATCAGTGAACATGGCTTGTACCCAGGTTAACATCAATTAGTTATCATTTGAAAGGAAAATTTTTAAAGATTCTTGATATGCCATCATCTGCATGGTTAATGGTTACAAAGCAAAATAAATGTGCTAGACATCAATGGTCATACACTACTAGAGAAAGGTGTGGTGGTGAAAGGGGTAAATAGTTGATTAAATGTGTTTCATGGAAAAAAAAAGAGCAGTTCAGAATAGTATGCATTGAAAGGGGCAAGGACAGGTGAGGGTAGAGAGGATAAGCAAATGGGCTAAGGTAGGGATTAACAAGGGTGATTGGATCGAAGCTATTAAAGGAAGAAGTGTGGGATTCTGCAAGGATGTCCGTATGGTAAGGTAGGGATTAGCAATAGGAGAAAAGGGTTATAAGGGCAACTAGATCACAGTTTCAGGTGAAATGTTAGGAGGGAGCGAATCCAGGGAAGCAGAAGGGATAATGGGGAAGGAATGGGGGATGATGCAGATAAAGCAGGGGGGAATGGGATGTGTTGGGAGAGAGTGGGAGGAAGGGGTGTAGGGGGGACATGAATAGGAGGAAGATGGATGTTGATAGTTAATTTGAGCATAGAGGGAATGGAAGCAGAGAGATTGGAAGATGAATGTGTAGGCATGTTATCTTGGGTCATGATTAGATAGTTTTGAATGTCTTCAAGAGTTTTTGAAGTGGATTTGGTTGGGGAGGTCTAGAGAATAAGAGATAGGCATCTGAGGAGTAGAGCAAGAAGTTGAATGGAGGAGAGGGTGTGGCAGGTGATGGGGTGGAATGTTTAGAGTTTTTGCTACGGGGAGGACGAGGAGGGAGAGTGGTAGGTGATGAGCAGTGGCAAAAATAGGGTGTCTAGATTTAGAATTTCAAAAGAACTTGATTGGGAAAGGAAGAAGGTAGAAGTGGAAATGTAAAATGGAGGAGGAATAGATACAGGGCGGGGATGTAGAAACATCTTTGAAGGAAAGGGAAGGGGCAGAATGAAGGACAGCATTGGAGTAGGGTGTAAGAGAAAAACCTCGTTAATGTGCTTCCTGTCTAGCCTCAAATAAAAATAGGCCATATTTGAATTTGAGAGATGCTCCTTCATTCTCAAACATGTTGGGAGGGTAGCCTCTATAAAATACATTATGGGAGCCACTACAATTGACCCATGTGCATGATTATGCAGAGCAGTTTGACTGATCATGACCAGGTTAGCACATAGAGGGCACTGGACACATACAGGGCATCACACTGTGGAGCAGCAGTCTTTGGCAAGGTAGCCTAGACACCAACAATTCTGAAAAAGATGGTGGGGGGAGGTTGATATGATATGACAGTGTAGCATTCTCCACCAATAAAAACATGAAGGGGGATGTAATGTGTATGTAAAGTAATCATTGCAATATTAGTGGAGAACTTAATGCAGCCTCTAAGGCAAATGGTGTAGCATTGTACTGATATTGCATCACAGTGCACAAGGCAGGTGAGTAAGTCTTCTCCATAATCTAGCCAATCCTTGATGTAGACCAGGCAGTTTGTCAGGGAGATGTAAATAGGTCTGGTACAAGTATTGCGGGACGGATAAGGCTGGGCAAGAATGGGTTTGCCAGTAATGTCAGTCAGGGCTGATAATACTTTAGATTGGGATTCAGATGTAACTTTAACAAGGCGGGAATGATCGGGGCAGCTGTGATTGGAACTTTGCCAGTTTTTGGATGTATTGTTGAATGAGAAGACTAAGGGACTGTAGAGGGGATTTTAAAAAATTGATCCCATTTGGCAGGGCTAAACAGAGTACTTAAAAGATTTGTAGAGGTGGGGGTAGTGGAAGGGCAGGGCCTTGTGGAAGAGGGAGTGGTGTTGGGTTAAGTAATATTGCAGAGATGGATAATAAGGCTGCAAAGTAGTAATAAGGGAGAAGGGGGTAGTAGATGAAGTAGAGGATGTTGGAAAAGGAGGAATTTGGAGAAGAGAAGACCATGCAAAATTAGACGAGTCGAGGGCTGAGGCTCAAGGTAGAGGTGGTCCCTAGCATCGGGTCACAATCTCCTCCTCCTAAGCCCCCCACAGCAACAACGGCCAAGGGATTGGGGCAATATTTGAAATGCAATTGGTTGAGATTCTACCTCATTTTCTAAGGAAGTTAAAATAGAAACGTTCCTCCTGCCAAGAAATTCCTATTTATTCAAAATAGCTTTCAAATTGTGATATGCATATCCACAAATTACAGCTTGAAGAGTATGAGTCTTCACATTCCTTGCATTCACTTTGTTTTCTTGTTAAATTACAATAAAAGATAAAAGATAATTTTTCTTTACATTTTTCTTATACACTAGAAACATAAGAAATTGTAAACTCCATTCCTTCCAAGCAAAACACAAATACATTTTCCAAATTTTACCAAAGATTTTACCAAAGTTGTAGTGCAAGAACTATACAAGACCAACGACAGTTTCACCAATATCTGATTCCTGGCGGTATATAGGAAGTAGCTTCCTAGGTCTTTCGTTCCTATCATCTCATATAAAGTGATTTTAGAGTTACATAGCAACCAAAACAAAGTACAAGAATACAAAAATGTTTTTTTCTTAAATAATAAAAAAAAAATACCTGTATCCTTTCCAGTACACTTTATACTGAATGGTAATATTGATATACCCATTAAAAACTAAATACTGTATTAAGTGTAAGACACTTATATTCAGTAGTCTAATGTTACTCATACAATAATTCTTTTCCTATTTATAGAGACCATGAAACTGGACAATTCCCAACAAAGATGGGGCAGTCAATAGCATATCCATTTCAGCTGACTGATACTCATATAACTTTACCCACAAATGTCGTATGCCTGTTGGTGGGATTTTTCTTCATCTGCGCTAGCATATCTTTCTTAAAAAAGAAATTTCAATGCAGAGGGATATGTAAACACAACAACAACCAACAACTTTTGCATACAGCCATTTGATCACTTTGATAAAAACATCAGTAAAGTATTCCTAGGCCATCAGTCTCCCTCTGTAACTTCCTATATTGTATGGTCCTGCTCCAATGCTCTATACTGAATTTTTAAGACATCTATGATAGTTATAGTACGTCTAAGCTATTTAGTCATTATAAGAGGAATGTACTGCTCTGGCACATGAAGCAATTTGCCTATTGGTATGGTTACCACCTATGTATGCAGGCAATCCAGTATGACCATTTCACATGCATTACATTTTACTTATTGCTATGGCTTTGACTACCCCAGGCACCAACATGTGGACAACAATATAACTCTGCCCGCAATCTTATTTTATCTTCAAACTTAACAGTAGATTTGCTATTGGAGATATAAAAATATTTTATATACCTTATACTCCCTCATGTAAAGAATAACTCCCAACAATGTTTTTACTAGTTTGGCTAGTTGAATGTGGGAACCCTTGAATGGTATCATGAAAGTAAAAATATCCAAATTGGTGGCTGCAAGTTGTACTCTGATTACAATTGTGCTAATCACACCATTCAGTAAACCCCCTTCAAAAAGGATTTTAATAATAAATACACCTGACCCTGTGGTAAGGCACGCTCTCCAGTGCAGCTGCATTCATCAGCCGATAGTCCCAGAGGAAGAAATCAACCTTAGCACTATTAATGGATGCAGAGCAACCTGATTGTGACAAGAGATCTTTTATCCTCTCAACAATCAACTCTGCAGCATGGATGGAACAGCCCCGGATCTCAACCTGTTTCAGAGGATGGAAAGTTTGGAATTAAAATAAGAAAACATTCAAAATGAACCAATTACCTGCTAGCCAAGATGAGCCCCTGATCTGAAAACATTACACTAAAAAAAACATGATATAACTAATAACACTAAAATTATGATCAAGTTGGAAGGTGACAATGATTTTCAATATATATACAAGTTGTTGGTAGTCCAGTGGGTGATGTGTACATACGTCCACATTTTTCTATCACAAATGATTTGTTATCAGTTACCCTTGGTATAATATGCATAGCATAAATGAATTATTTGGTGTGCCTGAGTTTATCTGTTTTCCCCCCAAAAAAGAAACATTAGCAATATTACATCACTATTACTGTTACTATCTTTATTACAATAATGTTAACATTAACATCAATCAAAACTTTTTCCTGAAAAAATTAATCAATAGGGTTAATAGGTAAGAACAGGTAGGCATCATTTTTTATATATATATTATATTTAAATAACACCATAATGGACCATGCATACAGCCAACACTAACACTCCTTGCATCGACAAGTTAACCTTTAAATACGAAAAAAAAAAATACTGGTATCTTCTATACAAATCTAATAGCAATTAAAGGAGATAAAATCAAACAAGTATCCTTCACGTACCTCTTCCCGCTCTCCACTCTGAAAGACGTGCTGCTTCTTCAGCTTCTCCTCCAGGGAAGGGGAGTACTTCAGCACTCCAAAATGTGCCATGGCCTGAGGGACTCTATAGTCTGCAAATATTGTTAGCTTGTCAATGTCTGTGAATGCTCCTAGGCCCTGGCCCCTAAAGAGGACCCAGATGTCACTCGCCAAAATCTGTGCTCTCTTGAACATGGCCACTTCCTGCCCCTCATACTTTGCAACATCTCTA